AGACAAATTGTAAAAGAAAATAAACTTATTCTCTCTTAAAGAAATTATATTGGTTCATCATGCCTAACACAAACAAGTTTGAAGATGCCCTAGACTTCAAATTTTGATATCTTTTTAGAAGAATTCATCGAATGATTTCAACGATAAAAGAGAATATTATTTTCTGAAGATTTGAGTTTAAACAATTAATATGTGTGTATTACCAATATCGTCATTTAATTCTTTCATCTCTTTGTTATACTATTTTATTATTATGAATTATTTCTATTGACCAACGATTTAGAATCTATGAAAAGAATTATATTCAACCATCAACTTTAATCTTAGGTTACAATACAATTACTCAACTTTATATACATATAAGATAAATTATTTTTTTTAATTTCAATAATCCAAAGTAGGATAACATCTTTACAATACTTAAATGCTATATACTAAGTGACGCCTCATCCACCAAGAATACGATTAGGGACCAACATTAATTATATATCTAATAAATTATATTAAAGGCCCAAAATTCAAAGGAAGCAAGCATCATCATAGGGGATTTACTTGTACTCAAATTAAAATTATTAAAAAAAAAACTTTGAAATGTGGGATTTGCTGAGATGATGAAATAAGACATGCTAATATAAATTTTATGGCTTTGCTTCTTACATATACCAATTGCAATAACCAAGTCATTGACCTAAATGTGCCACTTGGATTATACCATATATGATTTAAACATATTAAGTTAGGTAAGAATTAAATTATAATTGTATGACAGATGCATGGCGGTGCCATAATTCTTAATTTATACCATCGTTTGTTTTTTTAATAATTCTTACAAAGGGGTGGAAGAGGAAAAAAATAATTTTACTCTTAATCTGTATTAAATTTACAATTTAACAGAGAGGGGATATGTTAAATGATAACTTTTTTTTTGTTGACTTCCCGGTTTTGCAATTCCTAGAGTTTTGACTTGATTAATTTGGATTGATTTGCGTAACACACTTGATTATAGTGGGTGAGTCTCACAACAGAGATTTTCTACATACATAAGACCTCAAACTTGAAATATATTTAAGTGATATCAAGTTGCTTACAATTTGAACCAATCTCGTTGGTATCAACTAAAGAATTTTAATCTCTTAATTTTAAAGATTGTTTGAAAAAAATAATCATAGTTATATCTACACGTTATTCCAACATATAATCTATTAATAAAATATACATTTGAACAATATTAATAATCTTTGTGATTTGAATGTGAAATAGAAAGGTTTACCACCTGGGAATAAATATTAACTAGTTTTGTCGGTGGGAAATCATACAAATAATTCTGGATTTGATTATGATTTTAGTCCTCGTGCTGTGTTAAATAATTGTATTAATTTTTGGGTTTAAACTACAAGTTTAGTTCCCAAACTATCACTTCTGTTCTATTTTGGTCACCCTATTAATTTTTTAAAATCACACGTAATATTTAGTTTTGGTTTCATTTTGGTCACTTACCGCTAAAATATCAACAGTGATGATGTTGTATCATCGTTGAAAAAAATATCATATCAACATATGATAATTTTTTAACAATGGTGGGTCTAGAAATTTGTGGGTGGCCAAAATGAAACCAAAACATAATGCTATGTATGATTTTGAAAAAAATAGTTGGTTGACCAAAACGAAACAAAAGTGATAGTTAGGGTGATAAATATGTAATTTACCTTTTTTTAGTATTCTAAAGTATTGGTGGGTCCATAAATATTTTAAGGGTAGACACGTATATATTAACAACATACAATTTTTGTACAAATAAAATTTTAGGATGGAAACGATTAATAAAATAGGTAATAACCCAAAGAAAATTCAAATTTCAGAGTGGATACTTTACGCCTTAGGGGATCAACTATTGCTTTGAGGTGATTACAAGTTAATATTTGTTCATAATATTTTTTAACTATTAGCAAAACACACACAACCTACAAGCGTAGCTACTCGATCGAACCTAAAATCTCTAAGAAAAATAAAACTCATTTTTTACCATTAAACTCGCTTAATGGGTTATTGTTTTAAAAAAATGAAAAAATAAACCAAGATTCTCAATTTCGCATATAAAAATAATATAGAGATTCGATACTATAAAATAAAAGGATTGAATTTTAAAATTTAAATAATTCAAGAACCTTTTAACATATTTAAACCAAATTATCTCATTGGTAGCATGCAATCTTCTAAATCCTTGATTGGTTGGTATTTGTGTTGGCCTCATGAAAGCGAGTTTTCGAAAACCAATATACACAAAAATTTCAAGATAAGACATAATTTTGTAAAGGTTTCAATCAAGTACCTCTTTATTTCAATTTAAGAACATGGGGGCAAGTTGTCAATAATTTAACCTCAAGGGCTTACGTCGATAATCTGTAGCCACAACCCCCACGTCCCTAATAGATAGATATATAAAGTGTGTTTCCAATTTAGACTTTTTCTCGCAAGCAGCCATTATAAACTGATGTTCCCAACACCCATCCTTCTCACTCAAATGATGCCCTCTCCTTACGAATCTATAAACAAAAATAATTAAAATAAGATCAACGTCAAATAGAATATATAAAAGATAAGATTCTATGCGATTTAATCTTGTTTATTTCTACAAATAAAATAATAATAATAGCAATCTTCTAAAAACTTGGAGATAACGAAGAAAACAAAATACATGTTATCATTTGTAATAAAATATGGAGTATCTCAAATCACTTCACTAATATATATATATATATATACACACACAAAATTATTTATGTAATATAAACTCTAAAGATTGTAAAGATTAAAAAAATTATATCTCTTCGAAATAATTTTCTCACAATTCTAAAGGTTAAGGCATTTCATATTTTATAAAATCAAAATACTTAGTTATCAAGGAACCTAATCCCATAAGATTTATTGCTTAAAATAAATATTTATTCATTAAATAAATTTAATTATTAAATAATCTTTAACTACTAAAATTACAATAAAATCTAATTTAATTACTAATTATAATTTGACTTAATATCTAACACTTTCTATGAAGACCAATGGAACCGATAAAGATATTAATACTTTGAGGACTAAAAATTATATTATAACGTTTTGAAATTTTAGACCAATTTGAAGTATATATTATAGTTTGAGGGTTTGTGATAGAATTATATTAATGGGGTTGCTAATCAATAGGAACGTGTCTGGTTTGTAGACTTATAAAAAGGTCTCTTTCCATTGACCGCCATGAAAGGTTTATCTAAGGTAAATCGCCACTATGCTGGCAGCGAAAATTCTCGGCTGCCGGCTTGTTAATCAAGCCAAATCGCCGATTGCTTCAATAATCTTCTTTGCTGTTCTAATGTTTTTCATGTTGGCAGATACTATGATTTGTAACATATCCTTGGAACCGGCTGCTTTCACTGATAAAGAAGATTCACAAGAGTTGCAGATTCTGAAAGTTGTAAGAAAAACCAGTTCGGATGTCGTTGTTCCTCTACCATGGACCGTTTCTACACAAAACAAGATCATTGAAGTCGATGAAGAACATCGAAATTCTGTACCTTCTTCCTTGAGTGTTCGAAAAGAACATGGGGTCGGGAAGTTCAGGAGAAAACTACCGGATTACGGGATTTTCAAGTCAGATGAGTTGACCAAGAGGTTCCATGGCCGAGTTCTGGAATTCTTCAACAATGGATGTGAAGTTCACTTCTTCATGGCATGGATTTCAACGGTTGAGTCCTTCGGTAGAAGGGAAACCATGGCTGTGGAAAGCGTTTTCAAATCCCACCCTGATGGTTGCTTGATGATTCTATCGAGAACCATGGACTCGATCCGAGGTTATCGGAACCTGAAACCGTTGTTCGATCGTGGGTTCAAAGTTATGGCAGTGGCACCGGACTTACCATTTCTGGTCAAGAACACACCGGCCGAAGCTTGGTTTAACGACATGAAGAGTGGTAAAAAAGATCCCGGTGGGATCCCATTGGCACAGAATCTCTCAAATTTGATCAGACTCTTAGCGTTACACAAGTACGGAGGTATTTACTTGGACACTGATTTCATCGTGTTAAAAAGCTTTAAAGGGCTGAAGAACACGATCGGAGCACAAAACGTCGATGGGACGTCGAAGAATTGGACGAGATTGAACAATGCAGTGTTGGTATTCGACATGAACCATCCACTTGTATTCAAGTTCATCGAGGAATTTGCTTTGACATTTGATGGGAACAAATGGGGACACAATGGACCATACATGGTTTCCAGGGTGGTCGGAAGAGTTGAAGGACTTGCTGGTTATAACTTCACAATCTTACCACCTATGGCATTTTATCCGGTCGATTGGATCAAAATAGGGAGCCTTTTTAAGGAGCCGAAAGACCGAGCAGGCTCGAGATGGGTTGAAGCTAAGGTGCAGCAGCTAAAAGAGAAAGCATATGGAGTTCATCTATGGAATAAACGAAGTAGCAAATTCAGGGTTGAAGAAGGAAGTGTAATGGGAAGATTAATGGCGGTTCACTGTGTTTTGTGTAAAAATAAACATACTTCTTAAAATGTATATACTTCTGTGAATTAATGTATATCAGTGACAAGTGATACTCCAATTTTGGTAATGTGAAAAGCACGAGCATGTCAACATAATGGGATTAACTCCTTTATAAATATCATATAGTTTTCATCAGCCACTTTTCACGGTGAACAAAAATGTGCGACAATCAATCTATCATAATGATTGAATGCATCAGAAATGGCCATTAAAGCTTTAACATAAAAAGATATAAAATGCAACTATTGCCATAATTGTGTTTATCTACAACTCCACAACCGTTGAGAAACTCCGTTTCGCAGCAGAGATGAGCAATTTGTTTCGGAAGACGACGGTGAGAAATCTGTTTCGTGTGCTATTTTTCTGAGCTCTGAAACCTCTGACCGTCTCGAACAAATCAGTTTTGTTCATCATCTCTGTGGCAACCGTCTTCTTTATAATCTATGAAAACATGGTGATTACTCATCGTTACATGCATCTTGAGGATATCACAGCAGAGGGAAAGATGGAAGGGGTAGATAGTGTATACAAGGATCCTCTAATTCCCCTATTCAATGCCACCAGAGAAGAAAGGATAGCTTGGTTCGAGATGGAGCTGCAAAAATTGGAGTATTTCAAATCGAGAAACTCGAACTCGAAATTCCACAACCAAGTTTCGGGTTTTGATGACAGTATCTGTTCGGTGCAGTACTTCATGGTATGGCTTTCACCAGCTCAATCATTCGGGGTAAGGGAATTTTCAGCTGTACACAGCCTCTTCAAGGCAAGTCCTAAGGGACGCTTGATGATTTTATCACCATCTCTTGATTCAAGACAAGGGGACCAGATTCTGAAACCACTAATCGATGGTGGGTTTAAAGTCCTTGCGGCGACACCGGATTTTACCTTTTTATTGAAGAACACCCCGTCTGAGAGTTGGTTCAATGAGTTGAAGAGTGGTAGATAAGATCCAGGAAGCATTCCACTGTCTTACAATCTTTCCAACTTGATCAGGCTTGCAATAATATACAAGTATGGGGTAGTTTACTTGGATGTAGATTTCATAGTTCTCAAAGACTTCATCCGATTGCGGAATGCAATAGGAGCACAAAGCATAAGTACAATCAACAAGAAATGGACAAGAATAAATGGTGCAGCCATGATCTTCGATGAGGGGCATCCAATTCTATACGACTTCTTGGAGGAATTTGCAGTAACCTTCGATGGAAGTAAATGGGGACACAATGGGCCATGCCTGATTTCCAGAGTGATTCAAAGAGTTGAAAAAAACCTGGTTATAACTTCACAATCTTGCCACCTAAAACCTTTTATCCAATGGGTTGGATCAAAATAGCCAGATATTTTAAGAAGCCCCACACAGAATCAGAACAGAAATGGGTGGAACACATGTTAATTGAACTCGAAAGGAGCACTTACGCGATTCATATATGGAACCACCGAACCAAAGAGTTGGCGATTGAAGACGGAAGCGTCGTGCAAAGACTAATCTCGGCTCACTGTGTTATTTGCCATCAGAGGAACCCATTAAGCATCCAACCTAAAACCAATTGGAATTAGGTGAAAATGGTACACCTGGATACAAAAACCACAGGCAATTCAGAATTTATTTGGGATGATACAATTTTGTTTCTAAGTAGGCAATACTCAATAGCTAGCTATCCTCCTGTAAAACTACATCGAAATATTAATTTTTCATTTCTTAACTTCATGTGCAGTCATAGAAATTTCCCACTTTTGTTCATGCAAGACAACAGTAAAGAACCCGGAATTGGGAAAACAGAGAAGAACTCGTATAAAAGAGTGTTGAAAACTGCAATTACAAGATACCCAAATTCTGGAAATTAAGAATTAAACAAGAAATAAACAAATAACCATAATGGTGAGCTAGTGGTTAACTAGAAAAAACGTACTCATCAATTTCAATCTTGATTTTCTCATCATCATCAAACTTATCTTTTCTCGGAGGAGGTACCGGCACTCTTGTTGCCCCCCCCCCCTTTTCTTCTTGTTCCTAGGCCTCGCCTTTTCCATGAAAAATCAAAATTAATTCCCATTACAGACCTTTCATGTTTCACCAAAATTGGGTCTTACATTGCCAAAGGAGCGATTAAAGCGCTTCCCTCTGTTTTTTTTATCCACTCTTCAACAATAAACTGAAAATTTATAAATTTATAGTTTCACCAAAAATGGGTTTAGAACTTATAGTTTTCAACTTAAATTTTTGAAATTTGCAAATTAACCCCTCAACTTCTACAACTTTTAGAAGACACTCCCCAAACTTCCAACTTATGATGTACACAAACATGGTTTACATATTACCTATGTTGAACTATGAGAAAATAGCATAACAAATGAGATTTGTATTTAGAAAACAATTTTCTATATTTGATAATCTAAATATTTTCGTAGTTTATATAGTTACGAGGATTAAATAACTCGTATAAAAATATTATGTTCTTTAAAATCTTTAGTAGGAATTAATTTGTCTTAATTATTATAACGAGAGTGACTCTTAAATAAAAACATGGGTATATTAGTTTGGACTGAAAATACATTATATTAGATCTAAATACCTAATATAAATGATCTTAATTTTTTTTTCATGAATTAATTCACTTGTGACTTTTTTTATGTGTCTCATTTTAATCCTAAATAAGTACGTGTATGTACATTTATTACTTGTGGCGATTCCATAAGTGGAGCACGTTTTCACTAATGGTTATGCCAATGACAATGACTAGATGGTGCACGTCATTGCCAAAATTGAGGATGTTAACCTAGTTGAATAAGATGTGTAAACACTAATTTTTTTTCCATTTTTTGTTTTTATTATTATTATTAAAATTATTATTATTATTAAATATTATTATTATATTATAATTTACAAACAGTTACAAACAAAACTGGACCGGCCCAGTTACAAACAAAACAGAACCGGCCCAGACCAACTAGAAACCCTAAACATTTGGGGTTTCAGCTAGGGTTTTCAAACCCTAGCTCCCAGCCGCTACTTCCAGTGATCCCCAGCCGCATCCAAGATTCCAGAACAACCACGTGGCAGCCGCCGTTGCTTCCAGACGTTCCAGCTGCCGCTGCCCTCGCCAGAAGTCTCCAGAAGGCCAGCTGCAAAACAAAAAAAAGAGAGAGAGCAAAAAAAAGGAGAGAGCACGAACAACAAGAAACGGAGACCAGAAACCAAATAGAGAGGAAGAAACCGAGGAAGACAGAAAGCTACCAACGATCCCAATCAACAACAACAAACTAGTAAAAAATAAAAGAGAAGAGAAGAGAGGAACTTACTCTATCATCGGAGAGCCCTAAACGTCGCCGGAAAATCAAAACGCCGAAGGTGAAAATCGTAGATTTACGATATATTATGGGGTTTTAGGTTAAAATAACCTTAGATCGGGCATTAGGACGTTTAGATCTACGCTTTGAGGGTATTTTGTAAATTCCAGCCACCGTTCACGGTGGCCGGCGGCGGTGATCGGCATCGGAGTACGGTGGCCTATGGTTGCCGGTTTCCCTCCGGCGAGGGAAACTAGAGAGAAGCCAGAGAGAACTCTGGTTCTCTCATTTTAGAGAGAGAAAGGAAATAGGCAAATGAGAAACTTCGGCCCTTAGGGGCTGGTTATAGGGTTTATATACCCTCATCAAAACGACACCGTTTTGATGAGGGTATGTGCGTAATTTCCTTCACGGGAAAACCTCGTCCGCGGTCACTTCGAGTTTGTATTATTTACAAATTAGTCACTACAATCAACTTCTAATTATTTAAAATTTAGTCTTTACATTTTATTTTATTTTAGTCCTTATCTGCATATATATTTTATTTAGGGTAAATACCTAATTTAGTCCTTTACAGTTTAGTAAATATCATTTTAACCTGAATTAATTAAATAAGGCTAAATTATATTATTAGTACTTAGATCTTTTTATCATTCGATTTAGAACCTTTAATTTTAATGATCATTATTTTAATCACCTATTAATAATTAGGGTTAATTACATCATTAGTAATTATATTTTTATAATACTATAAATAAGGGCTGTAAATTTTAATTTTTAATATTTTTATTTATTTTAATATGTTTTAGTCCCTATTTAATTACAATTTAATTTGTATTATTATCATTTCAAATCCAATATGTTTAAATGATTACTTTAATTATTATTTTATTATTATCTTAGTCATATAAATATATATAATAAATAATATTTATTTATTTATTTTCTTTGTTTTCTATAAAATAAAAATCCTATTTATGAACTATATATGTTTAATTTTATTTTATTAAGAAAATGATTTAGGTATTTATTTATTTTTTAATATTGAAGAAAAGAGCTGTCTTAAAGCACCTAGAAGCTCTTTTCTGATATTTCTAAATAAATAAATATCTTATTTATACATATTAATATATATTTTCTTAAAATTATTTGAAATAACATAATTATGAATTAAATATATTTGAATTCTTAAATTTCTAATAATAGAGACAATGTATAATTAAAAAGTACCAATTTTGGGCGTTGTAGGGGTGCTAATCCTTCCCTAAACGTAACCGACCACGAATCCCTTTTTATTATTAAAAAGAAAGAATTTTTGGTTATAAACGCAGATCAGTTCATCTTTTAACTGATGTTTTCTTAAAAACTCTTTTAAAAGATAATTTTTAGGTATTCGACCTACCTGACCCAAAAGGCCGATGGCGACTCGCAAATTATTTTAAAAACCATTTATTCACATCACTTTTCCCACCAAGTAAAAAGAATTCGTGCCCGTACGAAAAACGGTTACGACAGCTTGGCGACTCCGCTGGGGACTGTCAAACTTTAAAATCAATTATAAATCGTTTATATTAATTAGAAATTAAAAATTCATTTATTTAATTTTTAATTCTTTTCTTTCAAATTTTTATTATTTATTATTTTTATATTAATATTGTTTTTTTATTCAGGTATTAATTATTTTATTTATCTGTTAGAGGTTTGAACATTTCTCCTCACACACAACACTTGCATTGCATAACATAAAGCTCTATAATTGAGTTTGTCCCTTTTAAGTGGAAGTGAAAGCGACGTCTTCGTGAGAATTTATTCTCTGTGTCAGACCTAGCAAGTAATTTTCGGGGTTCATATGCTCTATGTCTTCGTGAGAATTTATTCTCCGTGTCAGGTATAGAGAAATGTATCCCCTCGAATTGAACTCGATCCACTTAAGTCTGTAATGGACTAGGATTGAGGGTTGACAGCCCAAGGGGGCATCAACAAGGACAGTTCGAGTACCTTTACTCCTAGAACTGAAAACCTGCATATAATAAACCCTAGAAACTCTCCTGATCTGAAACCATGCTGAAATTTTGTCAGTAGGTATACACAAAGGAGAAATAAGCTCTAGCTTTTAATTTATTTTATTTCCTTTTATTTTTCCGGAATAAATGTATGCGAACTAGAAATCATGCGGTTAGGTTAAATTTTCCAAACAAAGCATGGAACTAGAAAGCATGAGGTTAAGATTTATACCTTGATAAATAGATTTTTTTTCCATTAGTTGGTACTAACTATTCTATTTTTTTTATTTTTTCATGCATGTTACATTGCTCTAATCTGTTCATATTGATTTCTTTTGTTTGCATTGCATGATCATGGCATAATCAAAAGGCGTTGACTTGAAAGATTGTTCATCATATTGGAAAGAAATCGTAAATGGACAAAAAGTTCTATGAACAAACAAAATATAATGCGGCCAAGAAAAGACATCCTGAGGGAACTCTGAAGATAGAGAAGAGCTATGCACCCAAAGATCGTATGCCCATTGAAGAGCAAAAGGAGATACGAGAAATAAGAGAGCAGATGTCCAAGATGATGGATAGAATATCTATTTTGGCCAAAAGAGAAGAGATTCATGCACAGAAAGAGAGAAAGCTTAATGAAGATAATCCTGCAATTTCATATATGCAAGGGCCTTTTGATCCTAACCAATTTGAGAAGTTGCAGACAATCATCATTTGTATTCACAAATCGTCTGGAGATACCAAAGAAATGTTGACCACTGTAAAAGCTCCCAGAGATGAGAAGAAATCATGTAATCAGAAATCATCAAAGTTTGGTCTGCTTCCGACGTCTAAAACTCAGGATCAATCCAAAACAAAAGGTGGTTCTCATTTTGATGCTATCCCTATATCATATAAAGAGTTGTATGAGAAGTTACTTGAAGCACGAGAAGTGGCTCCATATTACATAAAACCATTCCAACCTCCTTATCCAAATTGGTATGACATCAACGTTCATTGTGAATATCATGCCAGAGCTCAAGGACATACCATCGAGAAT